CGCGCACAGGAAGTGGCGCGCACAGGAAGTGGCGCGCACAGGAAGTGACGCGCACAGGAAGTGACGCATTAGCAGTCTTATCCTTTGGTTCATCTTTTCGAAGAAATCACCGGATGAAACTCACAAATCACGGATAAATTCACCTTTTTGGTTAAAAAAGCAATCCATCCGGTACATTACTACTCAAACTGCAATACTGCTTTAAGAGGACCACACTCATATCCCCATCTTGCTGCTCAAGGATGCCACTGTTTACAACTTGTGTGACAGGACAGGATATGGTAAGGCACGAAGTGGATGGTACAGACAGAAACGAATACTTTAGGCCTAATTTGCTTTTCTCCACAAATATGAAAATATGTACCGTCTTCAAGATAAAATAACAAAGAAATACACAATTTTTGTTATGAAATACCTATACAAAATTTTAAAATTTACACCATCTGAGCTGCCAAGAAAGGTTAAAAAAGTATCTTTTCTCCCCATACATAAAGCTTCCTCTCATCGGACGTTCCAGAAGAACTTAGGTTCAAAATGTCCAGCACTCAATGGAGGGAAGAGGGCCGTAATTCCCCTTCCTGCTCTCTCTAACAACGACATAAGACAAATACGAAGGTCAGAGGTTGACAGTAGTGTATTCTACTTATTAGGAACAACTGAGGTTGGGAAACAACAGGTGTGATGCGTGACTGAGGGATGCGTAAGGCACTTTGTGCGAGAGCAGCATCCTGGCACAGGGATGGTGGACACAGGGCTGCAGGAGGTTCCTCGGGCGCACAGGAACATCTCTACAGCAGGGAAGACACAGCAGGTCGAACTCAGAGGCGAATGCTACACCGACGTCGTCACTCGGTCAGGGGCGTGGTTGACCTCGTTTTTGTTTGAATCCAGTCCTTTAGCAGCATTCATGTCATTCCGTAAATTTTCCACCGTCTTTTTCATGTTCTTTAACTCCCCTGGGTGTGGCGTGGCTCGCCTCTGAAGAGTTCTCTGCAAGTAAACAGAGGCCCGAGTGTTTGGTTTTATCCACTACTGTGTCAAAGCATTAGCATTCCAATACATATTTTACAGTTTCAGAAACCCACGACCCAGGGAAGCAGCTTTCTTCCCAACTCTGTGCACTCATCGGCTGCCCACCCAGAGCTCACGGAACAGTGAAGGAACATCGCAGTCATGATGGAACACATACTTTTAGAATAAAAGAACACATTTAAATATATTAGTATGAAATAAGTTTCTATGTATTAATGGAAATTTTAAGATATAATTATGAATAAAGAAGAAAACCAATAAATATTCTAAATTAAATTTACTAGAATGCTCTTCTATTACTCAGAGGGTTTCCTTCACCCTTCGAGGCTCAGGAGTTGAAGAAGAGAAAGCAAAGAAGGCTTTATCTGGTTGAACTGCTGCGCCATTCGCTGTCCTGATGAAAGCACACGCTCTTCTAACAAAGACCACAGTGCTGAGAGTAAGTGACAGGGCTGCGCAGTCGGAACATTTCCCCCTCAATTAATATCTGGCATGCTCATTATCTCACAAAGCAGCGCTTCCATCTCCCAAAGACCTATCTCAGAACACATTAGCCTAACAAAGAGCATTACCGAGGTAGTGAAACAGCCACTGAAATAATTACGCTCGGGACGTCTGTGGGAAGCATTAAAGAAACACCGACTTTGAAGTTCCTTTACCGTGCCTTGTTCCCACTTTTCTCCCTACTGAGCCCCATCTGGTGACAGCTGGACTACTAAAGACAAATTTAAAGTAGTCTTTGTCTGGGGGGAGGGGTTGCAAACGCCTTCTCTATGCACTTCTTGTGAAAGCCCAACGGGTATAGTTTAAGGAGCTAGAGTGGGGCTGGAGAAACAGCGCAGGGGTAAGGAGACACCACTGCTCCTCCAGAGGCCCCAGGCTCGGTTCCCAGCACCCATGCTGGGATCACGACTGCATGTAACTACAGCCAACACCTGGGCACCTGACAGCCTCCTCCAGCCTCCCTGGGTAGCATGCATACTTAGAGACACACATGCACATACGTGACTGAAAATGAAAATCTTTCAAAAAAGAACCATCCTCAGTATCAAGTTCTGAGCCGAGACACAGTATGTCTGAGAGACATTTTCAAATATGAACGAAGAGCTGACCTTCAAATATATTTCTGATTTCTAAATGGAAACTTGCCAAGATAGTTCAGTCAAGATCATAACACTCTACATAAGGGCCAGGGTGGTCCAATATGCCAGAAGAGAGATGTCTGGTATTGAGTCACACAATGACATGTGAACGGAATTAACACGGCCCAGTCTAGAACAGAAGTGGAGACAGGAAAAGATTTCAATCACACAAGCGAAAAAAAGCAAGTGCCAATTTTAGAGAAAAATATGGGGACAAAAGGGGAAACTATCACAGAGAAATAAAAACACCAGGGCTGGAGAGATGGCTCAGTGGTTAAGAGCACTGGCTCTTCTTCAGAGGTCCTAAGTTCAATTCCCAGCAACCACACAGTGGCTCACAACCAACTGTAATGAGATCTGGCGCCCTCTTCTGGCCTGTGGGTATACTTGCAAACAGAACACTATATACATAATAAATAAATAAATCTTTTAAAAAAAGAAAGAAAGAAAAGCACCAAAACCATTCAAGTAACAGCAGTGTCAAAAATTTGATCTGCATCAGTGCCTTAAGAATTAGTTTTGCTTAAAAAGCAAACAAGCAAACAAAAAGACTTCATGTTGAAAGGCAAAATAGAAAATACACTATACAGAAACAAAGAAAACCCCCATTAGGTGCCACTGTCCAACTTGGATGAATGTCCGCTCCCATACCGTTTCGCTTTCGTCTTCATCCTTCTCATCTTCCAAAAACCGGATTGCACTAACTCTGTGTACTGTGCGGCCATTCCAGGCATCCTCAGGGACGTCACTCACCAGGCTTTCCAGGGCACCACAGCGAGGCAGGTTCTCTGCAGTGACAAAGACAACATCAGCAGGGAATGCTGGCTATGGGCTTGGAAATGGCTACACTATAATTTAGTGGCTCTCTGGTCAGAATCCACATGGAGGCCCACAGTGCCAAAAATAAGGAAGACAGACCACTGTTGCAACCTCCAACTCTCGCTTTCGGTTAAAATATGATACAAGAAGCAAAAAGGCCTGGGCAGAACTGGTCCTCTATAATGGAACTCCTCTGGAGACCCTGTGAGGGATGTGCTGGACTGGGGTGCTGAACGTTTCATCACATTAGTTAAAACATACTAATGGTGCTTTGTGGCTCTTTTCACAAAGGAAGGGCAGCTTTTTGCTTTGTTTTTGATCATGGTATGGCTGCAGTTGAGGGAGGCTGGGACTCTTCTCTTTCATGACACTTTGTTACACTTTCCTGAGACCAGCAAGATCACTCTTGAGTGTTCCAGCTCAAGGGATTCTAGTATTGCTACCAAACCCATCTCTCTCAGCAATGGATTCACACCATCATTTTGATGTATGTGTGAATACTCTTCTTAAATCACAAAATTTACAAAACTAAGATTCAATGACTCAAAATAAACAATTCACTGGTTTAAAGATACTATAGCAATGGTGTTAACTGGGAATCCTCCACTCTCAGTCTGGATTTAAAGATACTGTACCAATGGTGTTAACTGAGAATCCTCCACCATCAGTCTGGATTGTAACAAGCTGACGAGCATTACACTTTACCTTTGCTGTACAATTCTAAACCAAAGGCTTGCTTTCGGAATTTCAGTCATGATAAACAGACACTGAGTGATCTTTTCCTATACAGATCACTTCTAGAGTAACCCAACAAGCACCTTTAGTAAAGCAAAGTGAACAAAACATAAGCATGGTTGGGAAAAGGAGGCCCCGTGGGCAGACACTGGCTCCAGCTAGCAGTCCATAAGAGAAAATCACCTTGGCAGATAGGTTCGGAAGGCAGCTGAGGAAGAAGGACGCATGTTAAGATCTTCTCCCCTGTGGTGCGGTCTGTGTCCGTCTGGAACGTGAGGAGAGGCTGCGACTGATTATCAGAGAGCCACAGGGCCTTTAACTTCAGGGTGGTCAGCGACAGGGGTAGATGACGCAACCTGCCATAAAACAAGAGATGTTATAGCCTGAAATGTCAGAGAATTGACTCCTGCCAATGCTAACGGGAAGAAAATAAAAATGAGAGCCCTTAGGTGCAGTCCAGAGGGTAAAAAGACATCATGATCATAAATAGATTGGTGCCTAGGGTCACAAGTGAGGTGCCCGCGTCTCCTTACTGCTACACGTCTCTCGTAGGCCCTCCAGAACATGGGCTAAAGGAAGTAAAGGACACATCTGAAGGCCTGGCGCTAAGCTTTTGTTTGGGGAAAATAAACAGCATCACTAAAGGACACATGCACAGTTCTTATGGCTGCACAGGGCTGCAGCCGGTCCCCGGGGGCGGCAGGAAGGACAGAGGCAAGGAAAGAGGAAGACGCACTCTGCACCTGCTGCACCTGCCGTCTCTGGGGCCACCCTTCCCGTGATCCCTTTCAACTCTGACCTTTCAGTTCCCAGTCACTCTCAGTTCTCAGACTCGGGTGATAATTTAACAGTCACATCAGATTGTTTAAATTCAGATGAGAGACTCCACATAAGAACACCTTAAAAGATGAAATGCGACACCTAGATGTTAGGTGTCTCTTTTTGCTTGCACCAAGATTTGGTAGATCGCAACCATCAAAATGTCCTTCATGAAAGTAACCATGGGTGATGGACTGTTATCTGACAGTGTAAGTTGAAATAATCCCTTTCCTCCCCAACTTGTTTTTGGTCAAGGTGTCTATCACAGCAACCAGAACATAACTAACATGGAGATCGGTGCCAGGATTATGGATCACTGCTGTGACAGGCATGAGCATGTTGTCTGGGGAGGACTGTGAGTGTTTGAACTTCGGGCTGGGGATGACACCGAGTAGCTCTGTGGAAGCTCGGAAGAGAGCAATGTTGAAACAGTGCAGACAACAGAGGTCTGGCTTGTGGAGCTCCACAGAGAAGCAAAGAGGCTACCTGGACCATCCAGTGGGAATTGTGAATTAAGAATCTGTGGTTTCAATTAGCTTGGGATGAAGAATCGGATACACTAACAAAAGACCAGTGACACTGAAGGGAAACCTGTTATTGGAACAGTCGATAGTGATGAGCTGGAGCTGAGAAAGTACCTGTCGTCCTCGTCAGGGTTCCTACTGGTGTGATAAAACACCAGAGCCAAAGCAACTTGGGGAGGAAGGGCCTTATTTTGTTTACACTTCCACATCACAGTTCAACATCCAGGAAGCCAGGATAGGAGCTCAAGGCAGAAGCCTGGAGGCAGGAGCTGATGCAGGATGGAGGAGCGCTGCTTACTGGCTTGCTCAACCTGCTTCCTTTTACACCCAGGACCACCACTGTCCAGTGACCTGGGCCCTCCCACATCAACCATTACAGAAATACCTTACAGGCATTCTCACAGAACAATCTAACGGAGACCTTCTCGGCTGCAGTTCCTTCTTCCCAAATGACTCTGGCTTGTGTCAAGTTAACATAAAACTAGCCAGAAGACACTGATTAGAGGCCAGCATTCACTGGGGTAAGAACTTCTGGGAATATTTTCCCAGGGTCAGTGCATAAAAGCCATGGTCCAGAAGGGGCCAAGGTTGCGTGTCACGCTGGCAGCTAAACTTGGTACTGTTTAAGAGTCTTGCAGGTGTTACTAGTTGTGAACCCATAGGGGGGTCATGGAGAACAGCTGAGGCCTGGCACTTTCAGAGGCCAGGAGAGGCCATTGGTGAAGGTATAGCTTCAGTTACAGTGAAGCACCTAGGATTGAAGAAGTCATGGAGAAAAGCTGAGTGTGTATCATGTGGCAGAATAAGAATCCCTGAAGAGAAGTCAGAGGCCACTGTTGAAGGTGCAGCACCCTTGAGATGCTAGGACCAAACCTCTAAGGACAGCAGCAGCTGTGGAGTGAACGTGGCCTGAGCATATGAGAGAAGCTGTGTTTACTGGAAATGACAGAGCTGCAGAAACAGAGCCCCCTCTGGACCCAGACGTCAGACACGGAGCACGTTTCTGACCCTGGCTTTATTTCTGTTTCATGTGACGGCCCTGCTGTTTCCTGTTTCCCTCTTGGAGTAAAGAAGTATGGAGTTTTTTTTTTTTTAATTTTACAGGAGCCCACAGTTGAGATTTGGAATCTTTAAAGACTGAACTTCTATAGCACTTGAATTTTTAATGACTGTGGGGGCTTTTAAAGTTGCTTATGTTTATATTGTGATATTAATATGAATTATGGGTATGAATAAGGAAGGAACATTTACAGTTGAAGCAATATGCTTGTGTGTCAAGCTGACAAAGGATCAATTGTCCTGGTTGGTTTTGGTTTTTGTTTGCTTTGTTTTGTTTTTTCAGTCAACTTGATACAAGCTAGAGTTAAGAGAAACCTCAATTAAGAAATGACCTCCATCCAAACTGACAAGCAGGCAAGTCTGTAGGGCATTTTCTTGATTAATGATCAATGTGGACGGACCCAAACCATTGTGGGTGACGCCACTCCTGGGTAGGTGGCCTTAGGATGTAGAAGAAAGCAAACTAAGCGAGATGGGGTAGCAAGAATAAGTAGTCCTCTTCCACGGCTTCTGCCTCACTTCCTGCCTCCAGGTTCCTGCCTCCGCTTCCCCTAGTGCTAGGGTGGTACTTGAAAGTATGAGATAAAATAAACACTTTCTTCCCCAAGTTGCTTTCAGTGTGGCCTCTATCTCAACAGGAACAAGGCAATATTTCACTAATGAAGGTTATGTTCATTTCTCTGCCATGAAGAGCTCACACCAATACAAGGACATCTGAGGGATCTGGGGAAAGTAGCTGTCCTCTCCACCATCTCTTGGCTAAGATCTGTCTGTTCCTCAAGCAAGGCAGCAAGTGAAATTCCCATGTGCTACTCTAAAGTCCTTTCTCTATATATATCCAATCTGTTTATGCACATTCAAACTCAGGAGGTTTAAAATTTTGTGTGTGGGGGTAGGCACTGTGATAGAGATATGTGCATACATACACACACACATGCACACATACATGCATACATGAATATACACTATAGGAAGGAGGACACAGATCAGTGGCGGAGCACTTGTCCTAGCATGTAAAGGCCCTGGGTTTGACTCCCAGCAGCAATGACATGAACAGACAGCACAAGCATCACGTATGCAAACAGTTTTATATCATAGGAATAAAAAGTTTCGTATATTTTCTGATTCTTTTTAAAATCTGACTTAAGCTAATAGCCTCTAAAATGTTAAAAATTTCAAGCGTTGCTCAAGAACGTTACAGTCAGCAACTCTGCTGGTCTTGTTCACAACTGCACAAAGGAGTAAAAGAAAAAAAATCAAGACTTGAGAACTGGCACGAAACAGACTATCTGCTCCCCTAATGCCTCAGAGCCGACACCGGCTTCCCAGTGAGCACTGGCAAAGGCAAACGAGAGGCTAAAAATATCACCAACAAATAACAGCTTCCAAGGATGCCAAGTGGGTGATAAAAGCTAAAATAAATGACTAGATTCTACAACAGTAGACCTTGTAATGGTACTGCAACTCACATTAGCGAGCTGTCTGAAACACTGTGAATGCCCAAGTGCCAGCCAGCTCCAACGCGGGTGCTGCTGACCAAGTCTACACCACACCCCAACCCGTCCCCGGGGGTTCTGGACACAGAGATGTTACCTGCAGTGCACCTGCGCCTACAGTCCACACAGTCTGCACACATTTTGCTGGCCAGACCAAGCAGCCTCTCGGGGCTTGCTGTGGCCCCTCACTGCAGCCACACCCACTCTCCTCTGGTCGGTCAGGAAAACCAGCCAGCCGAAAATGGAATCAATGTACTCCAGCTTCCCAGAGGAGCAGTACGCTTTGAAACTTAATTTGGTGCCTTCTGTGTGCCAGTGAATCACAGAATCAGCACAAGAGGCCATGGTCTCACTTGCGCTCACCTCTATGCTCTGGAGTCAGCTCCGCACCCCAGGAAATAAGAAGCTGGTGTTTACTGTTTTACCTGATGGTCTGGGAAGGGAGCAAAGCCAACTGTGACCAACCCAGCCTCGACTGGCCTGCCATGCTTTGTCAAAGTCATCTAAGAACTCAGCGTGCCTACTGACTAATGCAGAGTTAACCAATGGTTAAATACTGTTATACTTTAATGTCGTCTTTTGCTTCCAAGTAGGATTTCCTACTTCTAGCAGTTTTCAAAAAATATCTGAAGTGTATAAAATGTCAGACAAGAGCAAATTTTGAAAAAAAATAGCAAATCTCTCAAACGGCAAGCCCATGTACTCGCAAGTCTGCACCATCCTTTACTGACAGGGAGCTATATCCATAGTTTGGCGTAGTTCAATTCTGGTTTTGTTTTAAAAAACAGGAAAACCAAAACTGTGTGCAATACCATTCAATACTTGTTTTTTCACTCGGCATCGTGAGTCTTCATTTGAATGCACACACACACACACACACACACACACACACACACAAATCTTATTTTGATGACTTAATATTCCAGTTTTAAAAGATTTAAATGGTTTTATTAGACATGTGTGTACATAAAATACACACAACACAAAACTCAAAAGTCTAACCTATTTCCCTAATGACAGACACTGTCTCCAGTGTACTAGTGACACTGGAGCAAGAGTTCAAGTGCCCTATTGTGTGTTCCTGGTGAGTATTTTGGTGCGGGAGAATTGTCTGTATTCTGTCAATCATGTATTTTAATAAAACGCTGATTGGCCAGGCAGGAAGTATAGGTGGGTCAACCAGACAGGAAGTAGAGGCGGGGCAATGAGAATAGGATAAGGCTAGGGAGGAGGAAACTCCCTTAGCCATTCCTGTGCAGACCACCGAAGAGGCAACATGTAAGCCGTCACACTGAGAAAGGTACTGAGCCCATGTGGCTAACATAGATAAGGATGGTGGGGTAACATAAGTTATTAGAGCTAATAAGTAGCCAGAGCTAAGGGTCAATCAGTTTATAACCTTATGGAGTCCTGTGTGTGATTTTCTTTGGGCTTGCCCGGCTTTGGGGTACTGGGCAGGACAGAAACCCCAACAAGCCAGCCCTCATGTTACATATGGCACCAACGTGTGGATAACAGAATCCACAGAAAGCCTGAGAAAGCTTGGGAAAGAATAGAGTAAAGCATGTTTTGTTGGTAGCAGCAATTTCTCGGGTCTACTTTGCTTGCTAGAGGTAAGCAAGGCTCTCATCTAAGAGAGGCTTCCTGACTCAGCTTTAGCTACAAAACCTTGCAACTCATTAAGAGGTCCTGCCACGAAACACTTAAATGGTGTTGATGAAAAGCTGAACGCATGCTTTTCGGTTTTAAGCTATAGCAGGAAAAAAGCTGTGCTGTTTTAAAATGTCGGCTTTCTGGGCTGTCCTGCCAAGGCAATCTCTGACTCTTTCAGGCAGGCAGTCCGACTGAGTGTGGTCTGTGAGCAGAATGCTGCAGCTTGCTTGCTGGCAAGGACCTTGAAACGCCATAGAGTTGTGGCAGTGAACACAGCTCTGGCTGGTACCTCAGCCTTGACGCTGAAAAGCTAAGGAATGAGCTGGATCTAGCTGTCAAAGCCACGGCTCTCCATATTGCTTAGTAAATTAATGGCTCATGTGGTCAGAAAAAGAAAAATATACAGTAAAGAGAGATTCAAAGAGGAAGAAAACCTCTAAATGGTTTACAGTGTGTATATGCAGGCTAAAAGTTAAAGTTCTTAAAGTTAAAAGGAAAGAAAGAGAGTAGTTGGGTGTGGTGGTACACACCTTTAATCCCAATGCCTGGGAGGCAGAGGCATATTGACCTCTGTGACTTCAAGGGGTAGAGGTAGATTGACCTCTGTGACCTCAAGGTGTGGTAGTACATGCCTTTAATCCCAATGCCTGGGAGGCAGAGACAGATCTCTGTGAGTTCAAGGTGTGGTAGCATACACCTTTAATCCCAGCACTGGGGAGGCAGAGACAGGAGGATCTCTGTGAGTTCAAAGACAGCCTGGTCTACAGTGTTATTCCAGGACAAAGATATACAAAGATCCTGTCTCAAAAAGTAAAAGTAAAACTAAAAGAAATAGAGGTTAAAATAAAGCCACATAAAGATGGAAAATGCACAGAGAATCTTGATACTGTGTGTTATTATGCTCTCTTTGAATTGTTTGAATGCTGAGGAAGGAGCAACAGCTGCTAAAGGACTGTTGTTTATAAATGCTGCTGAACTAACCCAAGATAGGTATTTTGAAAATACCTTGGCTTCAAAACTGAAGTCAAAAGGTTTATTACTTTGGAGAAGAGATTTTGCTTTTGTTTCCACAGAAAATGAGAGGCTATGGATTCATTCTGAGTTAAGAAAAATCAAGTTCCATCAAGGGAGGCCACCTGAGAAATCTCCAACAGGAACAGATGGCCCAGATGTCTGAGTTATACATCCAGAACAGATTCAAGACTGCTGCCTGAGATGATCAAGACTCACAGGATACTTCAGTCAGGACTTGATTATAACTCTAAATTTTCTTTAGGTCCCCATAAGATCATCAGCGCCCCCAACCAGCAGGAAGTAGCCTGAAATACTACACCCACATTCCCAACAAATGGACTATGGGTATTTTCCTTTGTTTAAAAAAAAAAAGAGGGAAATGGTGCGGGAGAATTGTCTGTATTCTGTCAATCATGTATTTTAATAAAACGCTGATTGGCCAGGCAGGAAGTATAGGTGGGTCAACCAGACAGGAAGTAGAGGCGGGGCAATGAGAATAGGATAAGGCTAGGGAGGAGGAAACTCCCTTAGCCATTCCTGTGCAGACCACCGAAGAGGCAACATGTAAGCCGTCACACTGAGAAAGGTACTGAGCCCATGTGGCTAACATAGATAAGGATGGTGGGGTAACATAAGTTATTAGAGCTAATAAGTAGCCAGAGCTAAGGGTCAATCAGTTTATAACCTTATGGAGTCCTGTGTGTGATTTTCTTTGGGCTTGCCCGGCTTTGGGGTACTGGGCAGGACAGAAACCCCAACAAGCCAGCCCTCATGTTACAGTATTTCCAGACAAAGACTTTATTAAGAGTTAAGAAATTTTGTCCTGGGTCCCAGAGAAGCTGATGATATAGGACACTTCCCGGCACTGCCACAGAGGGCTTCCTAGCTCTCACTCGGTACTCTAGAGTCACCCTTGCGGTAATACATCCTATCAGGTCTACGAAAGCAAGTTCCTGCACAGGGCAGGCAATCCCGCTGGCAAGTGTCGCTATTATATGTCTGAGAGGACAGCCAGACACTGCACCTTCAGTCAACTCTAACGGAGGACATTTCTGCAAGTTTCAACACTGACACGCTAATATTATTACTAGTTTCAATTCCGAAATTTTAAAACAAGTAGTGATTAAACATTTTTAAAGGTTGAGAACTTAGTTAAGAATTTATATATATGAAAGGACAAAATGGCACATTTAACTGACTCGGATGATGACTATGTACCTCAACTTCTTAAATGAACACCTCCACCCCAACCCAAGCGTAATAAAAATTTAATTTTCCTTTCTTCTGAGAACTAGAATGATTCCCTACTCATAGCAGACAGTTTTAGAAGCCAGGGTCATAATTCTGCTTAAGAATTAGAAATGTAAAGTCTTGCTTCCCAGTGTGGCCAGGGCCAGGGAATGTCCAGAGTTCCCGAGTTTCCTGAACTACAGAAAGGAAGTTGGGAAGAACAGTACTTCCCAGGCTACGAAGGCTCCGGTGAGCAGCTAGCAGAAACTGACATTCAGTCCAAACCAATCCTGAGTTTCCAGGCACCTCTTAATGGTCCAAATCTATCAAGATTTCCCCAGAGGATTAGCCTTTAAGAAGGTGAGCATCCCAAGGCCATAGCTCTCCTCCAATTACAGCTTATTTAGCCCAGCTCTCTGGGGTTCCACCGCAAAGAATGAAGAGTCCTGCTCTGCAGCCTTGTGCCTGACCTAGCGATCAGCTAATCAGTATGCGGGAGTCAGTCCCCTACACTCGTCACCCTGCAGGCTTTTACCAAGTAAAATCAGCCTTCGCCAACACATTACTGCTTATCTATCCCTATCACATTCAAAAGCGATTATAACACGTCTTGCAACACCATGCTGCTCATTCTGCAAAGCTATTAGCATGTATCTTCGGTCTGGTATTTACCAGACACCTGCCATGTGCTAGATGCTGTGACAGCTAGGGGTCCGGTGACACTGAGGTAGACCCAGTGCCTTAAGATGACACCAAGCTCTGAAGGGATACACGCATATGTGCCAACCAGGCATCACCACGGGGGAAGCTCTTCAGCAAGATCCAAAGGTAAACCCCAAGAGAAAAGAAAAGTGGGTGATGAGGAATAAGGGCAGAGTCAGAGAAGGCGGTCCCAACAAGAAAGGCCAGTTCGTGCAAGCCCAGGTAGAAGGTGCATATGATATCTGGAGTGTTGCAACAAGCTCAGAATGCTTGAAAAGCGGGCTGAATCCTAAACCACAAAACCTGGGCACAATGGGGAGCTGGGACTGTGCGGAATGGTGTTGCCGTGTTAAGAGATGCCGTCTGCTTTGAACTGCAGTTGGATTCTGAGTCCCTTGGATCCTCTGACACTATGGAGCCTCTCCCCATAAGCATGACCCTACACGCACAACTTTATTTACAAATTCAGGAGGTTGAAAATGACTGGAACTGAATAGCAAGACCCATGCTTAAAATTCTGCCAGGTTTAGTAGTACATGACTCTGGCGCCTGAGCCTTCTGCAAGGCTGGGGCAGGAGGATGGCCCAAGCCTAGCTTCAACATCCTGAAACTCTGCCCCTCCTCAGAAAAAAAAAATTCAAACTGATTCAAGCTGATTTTGCAGACAAAGAATCTCTAAGACTCAATGTGACTAATGAAAGCAGCTAGAAAAACTAAGGCAAAGTCTCCAGTCCACTGTCTAGTCTTTCAGATGTATTATCACCTAGGAAACAGCCTAAGTTCAGGCTGAGCTGTCACTTCCCCACCTGGCTCCAGTAGTTGGTTTCCCATCAAGAATTCTCCAACCCCTCTGGTTGTTCAGTTAAGCAGTATAATGCTCCATGAGATGTGGCCAGGCCACAGCAAAGAGTGGGGCTAGGTATCTGTTTCTCTCCAGCAAAGCCCTTCTTACCTGTTCCCTGCCACATCTAGGACATGAAGCTCCATGGCCTGTGATACCTCTGCAGGTATTCGAGTCAGCCTGTTGTCCCGCACGCAGAACACGGTCAGATTGCAGCACCCACCAATCTACAGTGGGAAAGAAAAAACATCTGTTCTTTTCTCCATTTTGAGGAGTGGTGGGGCAGGATATTTTGCCAACAGCATGAAAAAGATGCATAAAATAAGCCATATGATTTTAAATTTCACTGATGAGCATATATAATTACTTTAAGTTATACAGAATGTTAAACACATTCTAAATTGAATAAAGAAAACGCTTAGTACAGTTCAAACTGTTGTTCTGAAAAATATTACTTTTCATTGTTGATATCTAATGCACTAGTAAAATACTAACTAAACTACACAAGTCCAGGAAGTAGTATTTAGTTATAAGAGAATTAAACAATTCTACTTCAAAATACTAGGCCAAAGGTAATGCTGACACCAACACACATAGTTCAACACCTGTCCTATAACTCCAATGTTTTCAATATTCCAGGGTTCAGAATGGAAGGGAGGAACTTGATAGATTATACATGAATTGTCTCTAAATAGATTTTGATGGCTTTGGTTGCTCATAAAATAATCTGGCAAAAATCACTTTCCCTTGAGGAATGCAAAACCAGTAACATCTCAACAAGACGCAACATTGGTAGATAGATACATATGCCTCAGTTATGGTTTGTTGTTAATATCACATTACACTGAGAGCTGAGTCCACATCCAAGTGTGTTCCGGGGTAGCTGAGCTTCTTATGTGTGGTCCTGAAGACACTAATTCAAGACTGTGCTGCACAAACCGGCCATGGATTTTTGAGTCGGAAAAGATGAACCAAGGGGAAGGAAAAAATAACTTGATCTCAGACACGACCTTCTCCAAGGCTCCACAAAGCGCTGCATTCTTCTGGCCTTTGCCATATAAAGCAGAAAAAGCTCATGAAGGGACCCATTGATGTCTTTCAGACACAGGGGAAAGGACTACCCTAGGGCCTCTCACTGGAGGAAGAGTCCTGACTCCTCAAGGCTGTCTGAATATATATCCTGCCCTGTTTCACTTACGTGTATACTAAATACATGAATGTAGCACCCTCGGAGCATGATATGTCTTTACAAAATTGCTACATAGTTAATTTCTTGCGTTATCCTTTTATTTCTTCTAAGAGTATCAGTATATCCAATTACTTTATTTAACTGCAAAGTTCAACCAAAACAGATGTGAAATATTAATATCATAAAATGTCACACAGAGAGCACCCCAATAGGCTGCCCCTTTCAGGTCTCGGAATTCAAGTTCCCCATCCCAGCAAAACTAGTTTATTCATTGTATTTTTTCACCACTACTTCTTATAGAAACACCATTTTTCTTTCTGTTTTTAAAAACCTTACCATTAATTCAAACTGGCTGGATGTCCTTTAGCCCCATCATAGTTTTCCCAGAACCTCTGGTCATTATGATAAACTGTCATCTAAATTTCTTTCATAATTATGAACTCTAACAGGACAAAATGGCTCTTGAAAATCTTTAAGGCCTCTAGACGAGATTACTGCTTATTTGTACACGGACACATACAGATAGAATACTTGACAAAAGTAGCTCCATTCTTACCTACCCTCCCTCCATCGCTCAAACACCTGCCAAACAGCTCGAGTGTGCTCCCCTGGACATCTTAGACACTACCTGACTGCATATCCCAATAATCTTTTACATAAAAACCCATTAAGGGGGTGACATGAGCCCACTACCATGCTAACTGAATCATTTGTTTGTACTTTGGTCTCACTTTTGGTTTCACAAGCAGAATCTGAGGTTCCCTGGCGGTCAACAGGATCAAATGTCTACTATCACTTAGCAATTCTGGGAAGCAGAGTCACTGTTTAAATAACCTATTACTAGTTATGTAGGAAGCTGGTATTTTAAACCTCCCTTAAACCACTAATAACACCTTCCAAGAATACAAGGGTTTGGATTTGGAGTCTCTAAAAACTACAGAATGTTGCAGGAAACCCAAGTTTAGCTCTTTTGTGTCTATGTTAATTCAAAATGATCCTATATTTAACTGTCTGCCATTCAGTTAGCCTAGGAAGGGCCTGGAGATCACCATGGAAACCTTTAAAGCAGTGGTTCTAACCTTCCTAATACTGTGACCCTTTAACACAGCTCCTCAGGCTGCCAGGACCACCCCCAACCATAAAATTATTTTCGTTGCTACTTCATAACCATCATGTTGCCACTGTTATAGCTCACAATGTAAATATCTTTACTTTCTGATTGTCTTAGGCGACCCCCTGTGAAGGGCCGTCGACAACGCCATGGGGTTGCAGCCCACAGGCTGAGAAAAGGATGGATTCTTACAGAGTGAGCTGGAGGGGATAACCACACTGATGATTCAGTGAGGCAGCCTACGGCAGCCACCCGTGCTGCTTGCATTCCACTTTGCAAACGGCTGCCTGCAATTAACAGACTGCTTTCTCAGTATTGCCCTGTCAATATTGGTAGCAGAATAGAACCCACATTTTACCAGCAAAAAGGAAAACTTACAAGAAAACAAAATCTGGCCTGAACTACAAGGTGAACAAATATACATAATTTTAGAATCCTTTCCAGAGCCTGTGCTATATTATACAAATGTTCCCCACTTCATGAGCATTTTCAGAATTATATGGTCTGGAGATTCCTCAAATTATTAGACCACATATATAACAAGACACTATGATCTTTAGCATATAGAACATAAGAACATGTTCTAATGTCATAATATTTCTCAAGGATTTTACTGGCCACACAATATTTCCCTCACCATTTATATAATAAATTATTTAACAAACATCCAAGGTTGATGTTGCTAGTTAGTTCCCACACTTCTTTGCTTCTCCCAAGCACTAGATTAATCATCTGGTAGATGGTGATACTGATTTGTCTTTACCTCACAAACGTAATTTCTAGAAACAGAAAAACAAAAGGTATGTTTTTAAGTCTTTAATATCAACAGTCTCTCCCATGACAGCCCTAGTGATTGATACTTATACAAAAATAGGTACTTGCCTGCAGTATTTGTCAACATTTGGTGTTTCACTTAAAATCTTAAAATTCTGATAGATTAAAATGTCTTCACACATCTGTGAAAACCAATGGGGCTAATTTTCCCAGTGCTCTCCCATTCTGGGTACTGCTTGTTTTTTGTTTTGTTTACTTTACCATGATAGAGACATCTTTTGCTCAGCAACTTTATTATTATCAGAACTTTCTGATAATAGCTAAGATTTTTTTCATTTGAAATTGAATGTCTTCCAACCTAAATAGTTTTTAATTACCTTTCAGATGAGGAATCTTTCAGGTAGACAAAACCACCATAACCATCAACTGTTTTGTGCTTGCATTCCTGTGACTCTAATGAGCATCTGGAGCTTGGAGGGTAACCTTCATCCTTTCTCAAGTCCCATCTCCTATTTTGTAGATACAGTTTCTCGCTTGCCTGGATCTCCCGCATTAGGCTAAGCGAGCAGGCCAGGAAGCCTCAGGTACCCACAGTCTCTGTCTCCCAGTGCTGGGGTTTCATGCATTGCTTTTCTTACAAGAACCTCCAGGAACTGAACTCAGGTCCTCGTGCTTGTGTGGCAGGCACTTTATTGACTGGACCATCTCTTGAGCCCTGTTAACTCTTTCATGATTATTTCTTGTTTCAAATTTAGGAATGCATTCTCAGTTTTCAGATCTCATGGTCACCTGTATCTTACTCTAGTATGTATAGGTTGTATATTATATTTTATTTATATTATCAATAATTTTAAAATACAAGGGCAACTTAGAACAAAACAAAATTAAAGTATAAGGCAAAAACCTATCTGTGAAATAAATAATCTAACATCCTAAACATTTCTGAATATCAGAAAATTTATAGGGACTTAATATTTGCACAGTGCCTAAATTATATATATATGAATGTTCTACAAATTCTACCTTATTCCATTTGATTAAACAGGTGTGATATAGTTGGGGTACCTTTCTTAGTTTGATCCAATACACACAAAAATAACAAGCAAAAATCTCCTCTGTATTCTAAACTTGGCCATATGCTCAAGTTTTTTTAGCCAGAAGGTGTTTCAAGGAAGCATTTGGCTGGGGACTACTGAAGGCACTGCCTTCTCTCATCAGCCCCACGGTCACATACTGGCTCCCTGCCTATCTACAAACCACACTCCCACACTTTCATCCCCTTAACTTCTGCCCTTTCCCGGAAGTACATAAACTTAAGCAACAGAGTGAAAGAAAACACACGAGTGGCTGGGCGCTCGGAAGCATGCCATGTGCTGCAGATGTGCCAGGATGAGCCTTTCCACCACAAGCTAGGATCATGCTGACATTACAACGCAGTGAAGGCAGATGAGGTACCAAAAGATGCCTTTCAGAATTTCTGAATAACTTACAATGTAAGTCACAGAAAAGCATTCTTTTGTGAAATAATAATCTGAACAAATGTGAGAAACACATTATCAATAGAAGAGTTCAGGTCATGCAGTTATTACATTTATTTAGAGAGAAAATGCCCATAGTTTACAACGATGAACACACAGAGCAGTCAGCCAGTTTGAATCTTCATGCACTAATGAAGCAAAACGGGAGTTAGAGATGTAACTGTAGTCAGAACAATACTTACAAGATGACAAGTTTACCTGACTTTTCTAAAATTCCAAGCAGCTAACAATTAAGAAAACAAGAGACATTCATTGATTTCCAAATGTTCACTACAAATGACACCACAAAACACAAACAGAATCCTCTACTGTGATCCCAACAAACACCTTCCCCTCAGTCATTTGGGAAAGTAGACGGAAATTCATGCGGCTGGAGCAAGAAGCTGTGCCGTGAGACTGACGATATCCAATACCATCAACTACAACGACAGAGACACAGTATCGGGAAAACTACAGACACAGCAACCAACAACAATTAGACAACTATGGATTTGGGACATAAAAATTGGTAACTTTCTGTCTTAGTTTAGAGACACCATATATGCAACTTAATTGATCAAGAAAAAAAGGTAACACATGTTTCAATGGAAAGACCCCAAGAAAGTGTAAGAGTTGATCGAGTAGTGTCAAGCAAGGAGATAAAGTTGGTGTTCACACACAGACCTCGCAGGCAGACTACACTCACGTGTACACACTGTGACTGACACATGATGGGGACACACTTTGTGGTTTACTTGATTAGTCCCAATGAGACAAGCAGTCATACTCTTTCTGCTGGGTACCAAACTGAGATCCATGGCAGAGTCAGAGACATATACTTAATGAGTTTCTTATCCTGGGATCTGGGTGTGTGTGGTTAGGGCTGAAAGTAATCTAGAAAGATCTCACTCCTGAAAATCAAAACGTTTCTGCTTTATCAAGACAGGAAAAAAGTATCTGTTTTATCCACTTATACAACTCTAATGCCAGGAAATCAATCACAGTTTCCCAGAAAATAGAGAACGTGACAGCGCAAATGCTTTAAAGCTAAGAAGGGTTTTGCAGTAGGCTGTGAGCAGAAATACTGCTGGACACTCAATTTTTAAAAACATCAAAGACAGCTCACTGTTAAAATGACAGAAGCTGTTTCATAATAATAAATTTGTAAGATTTTTTTTCCTAAAATGTCTCCCTGGAAAAAAAGAATTCAAGAGCCATCCAGAGATGACAGGAGAATGTTGTTATTAAACTTCAAAGTGCTCTCCTTGGAATCTGTCCCCAAATACCCCTCTGCTATACTGATTTTCTAGAATGCCCAGACCAAAGGTCACTTGACCTTTCTTTACCGAATCAAGGTTCTGTACAATCTCCAGGACACATGAAAAGGCCGTGCTGAATCTGAGCCCCTTGTGTTGCCCTTTGTTTACAGTCTAGTCACAGGGATTAGAGACCGGGAGCGCCATCTTCGGAGCTAGAGACCAGCTGCCCTCAGTTTCTGTATTGTGAACTGAGGAGGCCAGCACGACTTCAAAGACTGAGCGAGTGGAGCCGCACAGAGGCACCACAGGCCATAGTGGGCACTGAGGAAAAAAGCAACAAATCTCCTTGTGCTGACTCTGCATCCATCCATTCCCCAAGCACAAGTGCTATTTCACAAGCGGGAAAATCAGCATTCACAGTATCGGTTGTGTTTTGGTTTACTGCTTACAGATTAGAAGCAAAATGTTTTGATTAGCAGAATCTTAGTTGTCCCAAATTTGGCTGCGATGTAGATTTGAGTCTTTCTGTTGGAGATGGTTTCGCTTAGATGTGATGGCTCGCATCAAGGGTATATCTAATTATAAATGTGCCATGTTTTTAATCTGTATCCTCTTTCTTCCACTCAGGGAGGTTATTCAACTTACCCAGAAGAGACTGGGCACTGTGAGCAGAGAACCAAGCAGCCCACACACCCTGTAAAGCGACCTTCAAGTTCTGGGTCGTTAGATACCAACTTTGAAATTATTCCAAGACAGATGGTGAAAGGGTCAGAGCAGAGAAATTTGAACAAAACTAAGTTGGTCAATGACAATGTGAAGGGAAGAGGCTTTTTCTACGAGGACCCAACCAACAGGAAGTCTTCAGCAACAGCTATTTGATAAAGGGAAAGGAAGGACTATAAACTCAGCTTTTGGCTATGTGACGAATATTAAGAACAAAAAGGCAAGATCAGTCTTACTCTTTCCAGTACAGTGCCCCCAGTTCCCAGAGACGGTGAACAATAAGCCTTCCAAAAGGACACTAGACACCTCCCTTCACTGTGCATTCTCTCTGCACTTCCACCTCCTCTGGCAGACCTAGAGGCCTCTGAAGAAGCCGAGTCACTCTCCACAGCAGAAAGCAGTTGTCTCCTTTCACCAGTAGGCATAGACTGTGGGAGAGGAGGAAGAGAGGTGGGGAGTGGAGCGGGGTGGGGGCAGTGGTGGAGAAGGCAGCCTCCTGCCTTTGTAAAGGATTCCTAGCCTCGACATTAACAGGACCTAAATCTCTGCCAAGAAACAGGGTTGCCTGATAGTCCACTTTTATAAGCACAATAAAGGTTTATGGTTAAATGCAACAGTTAAACCCCAAACCATCCATATTCTCTATCAAGTTCCCAAATTATCTACCTCCTTATCAAAACACCAACCTCTCTCTTCTGTTTAAAATCCTGTCAATGTCCCTTTCTCAAGTCTCTTTCATGTAACTGATAGGCATTCTTGGCATTCTTGGATGCACTCCTCTGGCCAGGTTCATACTCAAAATGCACTACATGTCTTTGAAAGATGAAAAAAACACCACTCATGGACATTTTTGATCCCTTATGTATTACAATTATTACCATATTATTTCTCTAGCAGCACGTACCTCTTTTGGTAAAGACACCAGTTTATTTCTGTCTGCATTCAAGTTGCTCAACTTCTTAAGTTTTCCAATGCTCTTAGGCAAAGTCTGTTGAAATAATACATTTGTTATTAACTTATCACAATATTTTAAACATAAGTCAACAGAAGAAGCAATTATTTACAAGAACATTTTTTTTTAAAAGAGTATCAAAAGAAAACGTTAGATGAATATCAGATGTCTTTAATGGTCACCTGGGAAAATGCAATGACGTATTCTAAAGTTCTGTTGATATGACAGTATGTTTGAAAGAAATTAAATCAAAGGTGGAGATGGGGCTATAATAGTCTTCCACTCAACAAGTGTGTATCTGCACCCTCAGGGTTTATGTGTGCCCTTCCAGCACACCAGACAACCACAGGTGGACAGTGGCTTTGATGTGTGGAAGCTAGAAGGTTGCACAGCTGCTGCGAGGCCAGGGGCGCAGAAGGATCCACCTGGGTGTAAAGAGAGGTAAGCAGGCCTGGCGTGCACAGCAGGCGGGCTCACGGGGCTTTCCAACACCACAGCAGAATCTGAGGGGGACTAGAGTTGTAACCGGTATGGCTTCTATTTGTAAGCCTAAAGCTCCACTAAGACTGGATGATCTGAGAACTTCTGCCACGCCTGCCAGAGGGAGGCCATCTGCAGAAGGACACTGCAGGGACCCACCGCATCTAAGATTTTGCTCTTCGTAGGCTGCCTCTCACTGTTCTTTCCACCCAGAGGATACTACTTCACTTAGTAACACATGAGCAAGGAGAAGAAAGAGGAGAGAAAAGGAGGAAATGTGGGCTATAAAGAAAAGTGACCAGAGAGCGGAGAGAGAGCCAAGTAGTCACCTCTTAACAAAGCATGTACAAGACGATCACAGTAAAGGAGAAGGCCTGACCTAGCAAGCAAAGGGAAGGGCAGGAGGGGGCACACAGCAGACACTGTCGGCCACCATGCTGACCCATCCTCATGTGTGCACTCTTGACCCTGGTGGCGAGAGCAAGCTTGGTCAAAGCGTGAGTCTGGGCAGCTGCCTTCAGTACTTGTTTTTAGGGTGGAGATGGCAGTGGGCTTGTTCAAGGTTTTCAGATGCCATCCTCCAGCTCAGAACACAGCAGTCTAAGCACCCATCCCCCAGACCCTTCCCATTCCTTCTGGGGCACTAACACACCCAGGACACACCCAGTCACAGGCAGGCTGAGGTGGGAGTGCAGTGCAAGGCTCTTCAAAAAGCAAACTGGTCTTCAGGCCACACCTGACGATGCCGAGAACCCATCCCAGCACCAGGCACTCACCAGGAGACGGTTTTCTGTAAGAACCAATTCCGTGAGATTTTCACAATCCCCAACTGCTTCAGGCAACTCTGTGAGTCTGTTCTGATCGAGCTTCAAGATTGACAGTTTCTTTAGTTTTCCTACAAAAGTGTCATTTAAACTCGTTAGTTGTGATTCTTTGCCTAATCACCACTTGGTTGTTTTTTTCCTAGCTGCTGTTCTTTTTTGTTTTAAATAATTACTTATTTTTTCTTCAGCCAGCTTTTCAAACTCAAACTGTACCACTCTCATTTAGATCACTGAAGGTTGAGTGTTAGGAGCAATTTGTTCAGCACATCAGAAAGTCAGTAATTAGAAGCAAATCGTTTGAAAGGGCTAAATAAAAAGACTGTGAAAGCCAGAGAATTTCATGAAGGACAAACAGCTACCGATGCATTTGTAAGAGCAGGAGCTGTCCTGTGGATGCCAGAGAGCCGCCTCTGACCCCACCCCAAGGCTGAAACAACTGACTTGTCAGCGTGACCGCAGTGACTCTGTGAAGACCTTCGCAGGAGTAGCTATGCATGCAGAAGAAGATAGAAACTCCAGAGTTTCTCAACAGGAAGTCTTGACAGACACCCACAGGACAAGGAGAAAGAAGAATGAGTCTAACGGCCACCTCCAAGTCCCCAGGGACAAAAAGAAAACCTAAATCATTTGATTCTTCCTTTCAGCTGGAGTCAGGGAAACAAACAGGGAAAGCAGCCTTCATTACCGTCAATGTCTGTTACTATGAGACCCTAGCAAGGACACTGTCGCATTAAATGAGGACATCATCTCCACACAGAGGGAAACATGAAGCTGGGAAGGAGAAGAACTCTACAGCCTTGGGTGGAGGCAGAGGGCAAGGGACGACTGGCCATCCCTTCGCTCACTGTGTATCATAATCAGTAAGGTACTGAGTCCCCGTGGATCCCCACAGACCCTTGCTATGACAGAGCTACCAGTCCCTGCATGGACTCTTCCTCTCCCCGCCCCCTCTCTATCTCTGTGTATTATATATAGTAATAATTATTAGCACATATCTAAAAATTAACATTTTAAACAGTTGTGCAAACAAATAAACATACATTGATTTGGTTCTGCTTTCAAAATTTCTGAATAACCAAAAAAAGCACATTAACAGACATTTCTATTTCTTACAGGATTAGCAATGCATGCAAGGAAAAACAAGTTCAGTCCCTTGAAAAATGAGAAAGAAGATAAGATAAAACATTTTTCACAGCTTAAATAACAACACTTGTTCCGTAACATTCTGTACTAATTTCTCACCCTGGTCTAAGTTCCTTTATAAGAAAGGAAATGGAGTGGGTAAGGTTGGGCGGTGCAGGCCTTTAATCCCAGAAATTGGGAGGCAAAGGCAGAAGGAGTTCTGTGAGTTTAAGCCCAGATTTGTCTACAGAGCTAGTCCCAGGACATCCAAGGCTACATAGAGGGACTCTGTGTCAAAAAAGTGAAAGAAAGGAAAGAAGGAAGGAAGGAGGGAAGGAGGGAGGAAGGGAGGGAGGGAGGGAGGGAGAGGGAAGGAGGGAGGGAAGGAGGAAAGGAGGGAAGAAAGGAAGGAGAAAAGAGCAAAAGAAGATAATGTGTGTGGGGGGGTCCTTCTGTGCATGTGTTGCTTTTTTGGTTAATGAATAAAGAAGCTGCTTTGGCCTGTAATAGGGCAGAGTAGAGCAAGGTGGGAAATCTAAACTGAATGCTGGGAGAAAGAAGGCAGAGTCAGGAAGAAGCCATGGAGACGGTGTTGTGGGAGTAACTTCTGCTGCCTCAACCAATAGTCGCTGAAATACGAGCCCACAGTGCAGCGGGGAGCGACTTCCGCTCCGTCAGTCAATAGCTGCTGAAATACCAGCCCACTGGGGCGTGGTATATTTCTCTTTTAAAAAGAGAAGCAGATCCAGATCAGGCCCTCTTGGTCCTGGCTCCTGCTCCCTGCTCCTGCTCCTGGCTTCTGCTCCTGGCTCCTGCTCCAGCGACTAGGCTCCCTTCCTGACGGTTTATAGTGTATGTAAGTTTTACCCCCAAAATAAATAACCTCTTAAAACATAACTGGTGTGGGATAGATTCGCCGATAATTGGCGCCCAACGTTTGGTTTAAGAACCGCCCCACTCCCCCACTTTTTTGTGGATTTTGTTATCCACGTCTGGGCGCCATATGTAACATGAGGGCTGGCTTGTTGGGGTTTCTGTCCTGCCCAGTACCCCAAAGCCGGGCAAGCCCAAAGAAAATCACACACAGGACTCCATAAGGTTATAAACTGATTGGCCCTTAGCTCTGGCTACTTATTAGCTCTTATAACTTATGTTACCCCATCATCCTTATCTATGTTAGCCACATGGGCTCAGTACCTTTCTCAGTGTGACGGCTTACATGTTGCCTCTTCGGTGGTCTGCGCAGGAATGGCTAAGGGAGTTTCCTCCTCCCTAGCCTTATCCTATTCTCATTGCCCCGACTCTACTTCCTGTCTGGTTGACCCACCTATACTTCCTGCCTGGCCAATCAGCGTTTTATTAAAATACATGATTGACAGAATACAGACAATTCTCCCGCACCAGACGCCAGTTGGAACCTTGCTGGTAAGGTCATGAGCTTCGTGGTAAAATATAAAATAATATGAATGGGTTAATTTAAGATATAAGAGTTAGCTAGAAAAACACTTAAGCAACAGGCCAAGCAGTGATTTAATTAATACAAATTCTGTGTGGCTATTTCGAGATTGGGTGGCTGGGACCGAACAAGCAGCCTCTGCCAATAGGAGAGTTGAAAGGTCTCTCCCAGCAAATTACAGATGGCTCAGCTCTATCACATCCCCTTTAAAAGCTCCTTCCCAGTGTGCTCTTATCAAGAGGATGGAGCCCAGTAAAGACCTCAGTTCTAGTGATGTCCAAGTTACAGCCTCATGGACTGTTTAGGATTCTGATATGAAATGTCCTAGTGATGGGTCATTTGTCCTCTAATCTTGACTAAGTCACTTTTATAATTACGGGGCTCGGATAACGTAGACATGAATCAACACTTGAAGGAACAATATCACAGGTATCACCAAACCAGGATGGACTGGCGTAGCTGAAGCTCCATTAAGTATCCCCTGCTTTCCCTATAAAACAAGCAACGGGAAGTCCCATTCCCAGCCCTGAACAACAATGAGGAACACTCAAGACGACAGCAGGTGGAACCCTATGTCGGCCACTTTTCAATACTTACCAATGCCATCGGGAACTGTTTCCAGTAGGTTCTGGGAAATGATTAAGTCTGTTAACGAGGTCAGGCCACTGATTTCTTCAGGAAGTCTTTCCAACCTGTTTTCAGAGACATCTAAGCAGAGCAGACTCTTCAGATTCCCTATTTCCTGTGTTCATGGCACGGAAAGAGAAACACATGCTTGAAGCTGGCACAGCACAGCACCAAGGAGTTTGCTCTAGGAGATTTCCACCATCAAACCCAGGTCTACATCACAGAAACAGGAGCACAAAGAGCGCGAAAGTTGGAAAACGAGGACGGATACTGTGGAACGCTGGACATGATGTGACCGTTGCATGCGTGACCTCACACTACATAGGGTCATCCGCATGCGATCAAGCAGGTTTCAACTGGAGCACAGACTGGGTAGGGGCTCACAAAGCCTCACCCCCTCCCCAAGTGAGCAGTTACTGGCAACTGATAGCTGATGGAGAAAGGAAAGTCCTTTTTCTTTAAGGGCATGGTAGGTGGGCCCGTACTCATGTGTATATGGGCAGCACTAACCGGACTTAGTGGGAATAAAACAAAAGGAAAATAAAGATGGCAAGAAGTTGGGAGGAGATGAAGCAGGGTGAGGGGAGTTGGAGGAAAGATATGATCAAAATACATTATATATATAATGTATATCATATGATATCATACATCATATATATAACTGTTTTTAAAAATCCTCAGTTCTTTGGGAGGCAGAGGCCAACAGATCTCTGTGAGTTCAAGGTCAGTCTGGTCTACAGAGTGAGTTCCAGAATGGACAGAACTGTTAAACAGATAAACCCTGTCTCAAAAAAACCAAACCAAACTAACCCAAAACTCCTCATTTCTGGGGCTGGAGAGATAGATTGGTGATTAGGAACACTGACTACTCTGCTAGAAGATCTGGGTTCAGTCCCCAGCACCCACATGGAAAGCACATAACCATCTGTTGAGTCCAGACCCAGAGGGCTTCACACCCTTTCCAAGTCTCCGGAGGGCACTACACAGATGTGGTGGACAGACATATGTGCCAGCAAAATATTCACACATAAAATACAAAAAGAAAATAATTTAAGGCCTCAGTTCTAAGCATGTTACTTCAGCACATACCTAGGTGTGAATATCTGAGTACATTCCTAGACCCTTTCCAATGAAAATAATAAACTATACTAAGCACAGCCACAGAGCCTGAAGGAGAGGTTTAGTAGAACTTGATGCTAGAGGCAAACGGGACTTTTAAATAAGCACTTATAGCATAATCCATTGGTGATCCCATTCCTCTGTGGTTACAATGCCACATGTCACACAGTCATTGATACACATCTGCTCAGACATGTACTCTCCCCTTTTAATATCACATGGCTAGTATTTCATTACACTCCTGGTCCTCCACAGTATCACCCCACCCCACCCCCCCGCCAATCTGGCAAGGATCTCAGACATGTCCCAGTGAAATCTCAGTATCAGTCAAAGGCAGCCCAAATTTCAGAAGTAGAGTCTCATTAGTTTCTCAGTTCCATTAGTCATTAAGAGACATCATGATAACCTCAGCACTATCACAGAGACAATGACAACTCCAGCTGAGTGTGTCCTTCTAGTGTCAGACTTCCTGGCCTCTCACCGTCGCTCCCACCCACAGCTCACAGCCCGTAACCCCTGGGCCACAGTCAAGCGGGCAGCACGCTAACTATTTTAAAATGTGATCATCCACACCATGAAAGGCACAGCCTGTGAACACTTAAGATTCAGACTACATGGCAGAGAAAAGGAGAAAACAAGTCATGGCTGTTATGCTGGGGAAGGCTTTTGGGGGTTGTTTCTCAACTAGTAATGAGACCTTCCTGCTAGACTCCACTCTGAAGAATGAAATGGCCCATTTCATTTAGAACATGGGTCTCATTTGACAACAGCAGAGAAAAAACTAAACACCATGGTACCCAGCTCAAACTGTGAGTACAATGGGGGAAAGAGGGAGCTCTTAACATTATCTTACGTTAACTATCACAAGGGGGAAAATATAGCAAAAAAAATTTTACCCTAAAGCACTTGGGCACAGCAGCAAAGTAGCAGAGATGTATAGTGTCTCAATTATGGTCTTTATCATCCACAGATCTAATGGCGCAAAGTAAACTATACTGGGTAGGAAGAATGAGACTTCGACATCTATAGAGACAGTGGGCTGGGTTTCCGGTCTCCCTGTGGCACGGTACAATGGTGAAAGCTCATGACCTTTTTGCAGATGCAGTTTTTTCAACAATGAGATGGCTCAGTGGTTAAGACATTGCCTGTTCTTCTAAAGGTCCTGAGCTCAATTCCCAACAACCACATGGCTCACAACCATCTGTAGTGAGATCTGGTGCCCTCTTGAGGAAGAGACCTGGCCAGTCATCCTCATCAACTTAGATCATGAAACCCAATGTGGACAAGTTCAACAGAACCGCCATATACGGGCTGCCCATGCCTGCTTCATTATGGTCAGGGCACAAATTTCATTCTTTCATTTTCTTATCTTTAGGGTCTTCTGAGAAGTCCCACGGAAGCAGAGGAGACATAGTTTCTTGCTGCTGCTGCATGTTTTGTGATACACAGTATAAATTACCTGAGGTAATTCAGACAGTTGATTTCCATCCAACCAGAGATCCTTCAGATGTAGGAGCGCCCCAATTGATTCTGGCTGAAACAAAAGGTGACATTGTAGTGACAAGGCCCCAGACATCCATCTTCCATCATGAAAGAAAGAATTATGGGAACAGGGTACCACAGCGGGCTTAGCTGTTATTTCTCTCATGTCAAGACTCTGTCCCTAAAACTGCCCCAACCTCTTCCCTAGGATGCAAACACTGCCCCTCATGGTCAGACTGCTAGTCCTGACTCTCCCCAAACCATATTTCTCCACCACTGTGAACAGAAACACATTCCCCAGGTTTCCTAGCTGTACCTGAAAGACATCCCTACTGAACTCCTCAAAATCACTTGAGATCATAAGGGCAGAGAAATATCAAATCTCTCAGATACACACTTACCAAATTATAGATTTCATTATTTCCTAAATCAAGTTCTTCTAGTCTCCTTAGTTGGGTGAGAGAGCTGTTGAAATAACCAACAACAAGAATGCTCAGAGAGGCTTACGGCACACAGAGAAACACACTCCCTTTCTTGGACTCATTTCCAAAAGCATGGTTTATTTGGCTGTGGTGTAGGAAGCACTGCCCAGGAAACTATCCTGCCAGTCACTCTGCACAAAATGCCCTCTTACTTTCCCCAGAGACTCACTCAGGAAGATACGTGAGAAGATTCTCTCTCAGTTCCAGTGAAGCCAGGTTATAAAGACTAGAAATTCAAAGAAGAAAACGGTGTTAAGAAAACGCCTTCAATATTCCTACTTCCCCTCCACCATCCACATCCCCCACATGCTGATCTCATTAAAACCTTTCCCGTTACTCCCCAGAATAAAAATATAGACCACCATCACCATCCACCACCACCACCGATGAACATAATCTTCATGTCCCAGATTTCAATACAATGGCATTAATAAAAGTATAGTATCTGACTCGCAAATACCTTACACATGAGATAGGGAAATAACCTCCCAGTCACTAAAGACAACCACTCCCTGAACTAAGATGGACGCCAACTATGTGCCTCTCAGCTTCAGAATGTTAAAAATGTGCTGTTACTAGAACAGCGGTGCCTTTAATCTCAAGGGGCGGGGACTTTTCCCTGCTATCCGTGAAATACCATGCCCATTTCGAATTGAGTGTCTTGGTCTGAGAAGATGGCTCAGGAGTAAAAGCATTTGCTACCAAACCTGACACTCCGAGTTCAAGCCCCAGATTTGTTCGTGGAAAGAGAATCAATCCTGCAAAAGGTTTTTCTTACCTTTACTGTGGCATGTTCCAGCCCAAATAAACATAATAAAAAAATCACACTAGGGGGTCTCAACAAAGGCCATTGCTCTACCTCATGGCCATCAACCACCCCCTTTTAATCAAATAACTCCCTTTTAAGGAGTCAGGGATAATACAATGAGATGCTCTGGCCATACATCTGACTTAATGCTGTAGTTATATTGACGCTGCTCTTACCCTTACTAAGCCCTAGCATGGTGCTCTTTGCAGCAGATTCTCCTGCCTTTCAGATACACGAGAGCCTATCAGAACACTGTGGAGCAGGCAGAGGCTCTCCCCTAACAATGACTATCTGGGTCACTTTCAGATAAGAGACAGGGCCTCATCAACAAAAGCCCCCACCTCCTGGACTACCTCAGCATGCATAACACAGATTCCAAACAGCGACCACCCTTCACTTCACGGGTACCTAGGTTCCATGTAACCCCAAGCAATTTTGCTAATATTGCTTTAGCAGCATTTAGATTTGGAGGGATTGTATTTCTGAGCATCCATACTAATCTTCCTTAATCATTTCCTTTCTGTCTTTCCAACAACAAACAACAAAACTAAAACCATGCGACTAAAAAATACAAGAGCATAAATATGAGTAAACAGTCTTCCACCTATCGGTACAGATATGCGTCTGCACACATACAGAGTCTCAATGTTTGCTTGCCAGGAATATTTTCAACTATGCTAAGCACAGTATACACTCTGTATCTTGTTCAATTATAAACTAAATAAGGGATTGGAGAGATGGCTCAGAAGTACAGAGCACTGGCTTCTCTTCCAGAGGTCCTGGGTTCAGTTCTCAGCACCCACACGGTGGTTCACAACAGTCTGTAATTCCAGTTCCAGGGGATCTGTTCTCTCTGGCATTCATGGGCACTGTATACACATAGTACACACATATAAACCCATACACACAAAAATAAAAATTTGAAAACTGAAGAGTTTCCCTCAAAAGCAAACAAAGATGTCAAACAATAATGATTTAAGAAAATCAAAATCCTTGCACTAAATAATCACTCACGGACCCTGCACCCTGCACTCTGACTCAGTCACAGCCTCCAACACACACACACACACACACACACACACACACACACACACACACACACACACACTGCCAGACTACAGCATCTCCTTGGTTCTGAGCAACAACACGGTGTCCAAGATGGAAAAACAGATCATTTCCTGGATTGGATACCCTCAAAAGACCTTTATGGTCCACACTACGCCTGAAGGACCCTTTGGTATCCATGGTACGCTGCCTCAGGCCTGTTGAAACCCAATATCCATCTGGATGCCCATGGTCCTACAACAGCTGGAAACCGTGTTGACGTCCCTGGCCCAGTGAAGGCCGGCCATTCAGATGCCCTAGGTCTGGGCCACTGTCTGCGCCATTCAGATGTCCGTGGGCTGTGCTTCCACTGCAGGCTATACTGATGTGAGTGGCCTGCATGGCAACCTAAGGCCATGATGATGTCTTGTCTGTGCTGCTGCCAAGGGCCATGTCTGGGTATATGATGTCCACGGCCCAGATTAAATCCAAGGGCCATGTCTGGGTATATGCTGATGTCCACGGCCCAGATTACCTCCAAGGGCCATGTCTGGGTATATGATGTCCATGGCCCAGATTACCTCCAAGGGCCATGTCAATGTCCGTGGTCTGTGCTGCAGCCTGAAGCAATGTTGATGTCTATGCTGTGCTACCACTGGGGGACACAGAGATGTGAGTGGCCTGGGCTGCCACCTAAAGCCATGGTGATATCTGGGTCCAAGCTGCCATGGAGGGCATGTCTGAGCCCATGGTCCTACTGCGGTAGAGGGCTATGTTAATGTCTGTGGTGTGCACTGCCACTGGATACTATGCTGAGGTCCATGGCACACAGTGATGCTGAAGACCATGTGAATGTTCATGGTCCATGCTGTTGATGGCTGCCAAGAGCAGGGAAGTTGTTTTTGCCATGGCATTGATGACTGCAGACTCAGTTGAGAAAGAGGGACATAAAAGGCTTCTGTGAGAATCGCTACCCTTCTTCAGCCCCCTAAAAAATAACAGCCTAGACAGAAAGCCACCAAACAGAACTCTTAAAGACTGTGATAAGAATGCTGAAGAGTAGCCCTCCACATTGATGGCTTCTGGCAGAGAAGTAGGTGAGGAAGGACTCAGTTCTCCTTAAGGGGCTGCCCACCAGTGAGTACATGGGCAACACACACTGAACTTGTTCTCTTTTTCTTCTTTTATTGGCGAGGGAGGGGGTATAACAGGAAGTTCAAAGGAGGGGGGGCAGAACTGGTAAGACTGGAATGAAAGTGCGCAGGATTCATGATGTGAAATTTACAAATAATCAATAAAAATACTATGAAAAGGCCATGGGGGAAATGATTTATGTTTACTTAAAATATGCATAAATGCGTGCACACACACACAAACTATAGTTTAAATGAAGTGACTCCACTTGGGGTGATAATATTCTCCCCAAGAGCCATTAAAAACAAAACCCCAAGTGATAGGCATGTAGCCTTACACTTACCATTAACTTATATACAAATATGGCTCCCAACAATTAAAAAATAAAGATTTGGACATTATAATCAGACTAGGCAACCTCAGGATGAAAGGCACTCTTTGTCTGAAAGGCTTAAATCCTGGTCTGTTTGGTTAAGATATTTTATTACTAGCTCTCAATGTCTTCTAAATACTGTGTCTGTTATAGTAATTAGCACTTAATATATTTTCCTTTCAAATTAACCAGGCTAGTTATTTCAAAACTTGAGACATCACTTGTCCCTTAGCACATTTGGGTACATTAGAAGAACACAAATTTGGTCACTGTCCACAGAAAGATCACAGTAATCATTTCCTACCACTGAAATCTCGAGAGGATAGACCCCAGGTAGGGGAGCCGCTGGCATGGCCATTTCGTATCTTACATACACTGCAATTTGTGACTCTTTAAACAAGGGGCAGAAAACATAGAAAAGACTTTGCCCAGAGACTCCTGAATCTGGACAAGTCATTCTTAATCAGAGGACAGCAGACTAATTTGAAACCACCATGGGTTTGCTTCTCATTAGCAGCTCGCTCTGGAATGGGCTAGACCAAAGTACAGGACCTACCAACCCACTGCAGCACACGCTTCTCCAGACTGCTGTGGGTAAGAGTGGACACAGCCCATCAAGGCCATCGGACACTGACGCCAAGAAGACAGTCTCTCCCCTCGTCTCCCAGGACACAGCACTAACATGACATCTGTTCCCACTGAGGAGCATCTCCCACTCACAGTGAACAGCATCTCATGCCTAACACAACCCACAGAAGAACGTGCTACTGAGGAGCCCAGAGAAGAGGTGTACACCTTTAGTTCCAGAACTCGCGAGGCAGAGACCGGCAGATACACGAGTTCAAGGTCAGCCTGGTCTACAGAGAGAGTTCCAGGACAGTCAGGGTAACACGGTGAATCCCTGTCTAGAAAACCCAAAAAGAAAAGAAAAAACTGTGCTGAGAGGTGCTGCTGGCCAGGACAGGGATTCTAGGCAAATCCTACATAGCTCAGAGTCCATGTGCTGAATCAGGAGGCTGGGAGAGAGGATTCAACAAGCATCTGTCCATCACTTCAGTTAAGGGACACTGTTATCAACCAAAACCACCAAACATTTTTAAGACTTTTATAAACATGATAAAAATTAGATGTTTTGCTGGTGATACATACATGACTTTAATCCCAGCACTCGGGAGGCAGAGGCAGGTGGAGTCAGTTTGATCTACGGAGTAAGTTCCAGGGCAGCCAGAGCTACACACAGAAACTTTGTCTTGGGGGGAAAAAGCATACCCTTAACATATATATTAGTTTTTAATAGTCTTACTAATACTAATGATAGTCTCAATTTACTCTATGATGTACATTATAACTGCTTTCCAAGAACGAACCGTATGAAGAAAAGTTAAGGGACAGGGAAAGAAGCTGAAGGTTTCACACAACTGGGAGCAAAGGGCCAGGATTCACTGGGAGCCTGGACTGCAACTGCTCTTCCATGCTGCTTCTCACTCTGCAGCTGGTCAATGACCCCTGTGAACTGGCAATGCATACGCATGCATATATGTATGTATTAGAAGGTATGTATCTTTTAAAGTCCGCATGCTCAGCAAAAAGTTCTCCTTCCATGCTTGTTCCCTTCTAATACACCCTCACAATTACTTATCAAAAGACATTTTAACAGAATTTTCCTTTATCAAGGACAAGAGGTATGATTCCAGCCTATGTCTGTGCCTGCCTGAATTTATGCTCCGTGTGTGTGCACAGGCGGCGGAGGCAGGGGCGGCAACAGAGCTCCTGGAGCTGGGGTTCCGGGCAGGGCTGGGCCCCAGGAGAGTAGCAGCATTACCACTGAGTCTTGTCGTCAGCTCTCAGTCTTTCCTTCTTCTCAAAG